TTATTTTGTTCTTGTCGTGCTCAAGACGAGTTAAATCGCATGAGCTTATTGTTAATGAGTTACCGAGTTAACTCGTCTCGAGCTCTTTCCTATTTAAAAAGCTCATGCGATTTAACTCGTCTTGAGCACGACAAGAACAAAATAATTTGACGAGTATACTCGCGCAGAGCACCGAGAAGGTTAAGTTTTAGAATTAATTTCTTTAGTTCTTCAGTGAAAAGCACTATCACCCATATATGGTCGACGTGGCGATCAACGTGTTAAATAAAAGATTAGAATTGAACGTGATGAAAGATGACATCGTTTAAATGTCAACATTTTCATCTAAGAAATTAGGTTGTCTATTTACATAAAAACTGCCACACAAAATAACTGAGTTCAACTCAAGAAAGAAACTTTTGCGACAACCTAATATATCGAACTGTATTATTTACTGTAAAATCACTCGCAAAGTCAGATTATTCAATGTTCAGAAATTGTTACGAAAAATAATCCAGTATAATGCAGTGCCAGCATTGAAACGTTGACGCTTAACAAAGTTAAGATGACTATTGTGCTATTAATTTCATTTAGTTGGTAAGCAAACAAAGATCGATCGCAGTTACCTCGCGATCGACGCATTATTAGAAGTCTGAAAAGGATTATGAGAGGCAGACTCTGCGGCAGAATGCTCGCGAGAAATCCTATCATAACCACGTATTTTTGTTAATTAAGCGATGTCGCCCGTGTTGTTCGTAATATTAATCGTTAATGTATGCCGAAGAGAAATACGCAGGGGAAAGGAGAAACGATTAGTTTCATAGGTGAAGCGCCGAAAGAAAGCTCTCTGGAAACGATAGGAATGCTATTTAAGAGAATACACCATATTGACAGACCCGAAACGAACGGGATTTTCACGAAATTGTATTAAGGAATGTATACGCTCGATTGAAATGACCTTATTATTGCGAATAAATCAGTTTCAAAACTTTGAATAATTTTTCAGATATCTACATTTGTTTATATTTGGTACAATTAATTTACCGTTCCAAGTAATTTCTGTATACAGATACATAGCAAATATTGTACAGTGACTTCTTCTAGATTACATTTAAAGACTCAAAGTCACGTTTCGAAGAAAAGCGTTCTCGATATTTCTGAATCGTCAAAATGGCGTAATCTTGTAAAATGATCCTCGGACCGGAGTTCTTTTTTCGGCGACTCGTTAGAAACGTCCATGTACAAAAGTGTGCTTTACTCTTGCCAATATTTAGCTAGGTGTCAGCTCGATTTCGCACTTAGACGCTAATCGTTGCAAAGAAACGTTTACCATTGAGTGTTGCGTTCCATATTCGCGTATCGAGAGGTTTCGTTAAGTTTACTAAATGCTCGGTCACTGCCACGCGACATTTATTCTCCGCCTCGCATGATCGAACGACAGGCGCGCCCGTTACTTATTGCTGTTCAGACAATTAACGAAATACGTACGCGTCAGTGGCGCAACTGGAACTTCCAAATAGGAGGAGGCAATATTCTTCTACATCTATATTTATAAATAAAAGTAATTAATTTTCCGTAGCGTCACGTCCCATTTTCTTTTGTTTTTCGCTATCGTATTCAAAGCTTTGTTAGTATCGATATCGGTGTCGTTGATATCTTATTTTACTATAATTATACATAATACTTATTATGGTAACGAGCATGTGTTCCCTTCTCTGTGAATTTTGGGTTTATTATCATCATTATTAACCCCTTAAGTTACGATTTACTCTCGAACAGCCTGGGACCAAAATGTGATGTTTACATTTACCCCGAACAATAGAGCCAGGCTTGTGATAATCACTTTTGGCCTGAATATCGGACCACGAGTCTGACACGTGGCCGTAACTTAAGGGGTTAAATACAAAATTTATTCTGTTTTATTCCATAGAGGTTCAGCTTCTTGCCTCCTCCCATTGTTCTACTGTTTTGCGCGGCTGAAATTCGCCGCGATTTCTAACTTCCACGAATTCACGTGTACTCTATACAAGGTGTCCCGAAAATGTTGGAGGTCCTTGAAAGGGTTCGTGGTGTGATTTGAAATAATTTTTTCCTTAGCGAAAATGTTGCATGATGCTTCGTTAAGGAGATATCAACAGAAAACCCTCGACGAATCAGAGCGCCGTAGTCTACGCTACTGCGGGCGCTCCCAATGGCGTACTCGCGCTCTGGTTGGTCGAGGTTCTTCTGTTAATATCTCCTTAACGAAACATCATACAACATTTTCGCCAAGGAAAAAATTGTTTCAAATCACCTCCCCTTTCAAGAACCCTCAACATTTTTGGAACACCATGTATTTCCGAATATTATATTTCTCTTTCAACGAAACCGCGTTTCTTCATTGCGCACCGCGATTTCCTAACAAGTAGTTAAGCTGTCGTTTATTCGTGCTTGTCGAGGAATTCCTTGAATCGTGTTCGTGGTCTGTGTTTGCTTCGAGCTTATTGCGTTGTAGGGCCGCATTTCGCTTTCGAACATAAAACCCATGGTGGACCAAGGAACGATATTAGGATTAGATCGGTTCTACTCGATCAGCGCGACGTGTTAAAATATCGTCGACCGTCTATTGCCCAGGGATGGACAGAATATTATTTGAATAACATACGTGACGAAATAAAACGCTACAGTTAACGCGATTTATTCCCGACGTTTATCGAACGGTTATTTAAATGTACAAAAATTTGTCGCGTACGCTTGTATTTGTATCGTAACCTTTCTTTTTTTTTTTTTTTTATTGAACATATCGTTAAATTTTCACTTCCATCGTGATTAAAATAAAATCTTCCGGACTTTTTAAAAACTTTAAAGTATCGTAACTCGAAACTACTTGTTTCGAGATATTCCGTTATTGCTTTTCGACGAATATATGATTGTATACTTACTCTTACTTATTTTTTCAGAGAATCCAACCAGAGGCGTTGCGAGGAAATTTGGCGCTCGGGGGAGTAGTTTAATGAATTTGAGAACCCTATCAATTTTGGAGGGTGGGAAGCTCCCCTGTAATACAGATAATTTCATTTTCGCTTCGACGAATTTGTTGTTCTCTCTTCAACTCATTCGTTTGTAATTGTTCGCGTAAACGTGATAGTGATTTTCTGCTCTATGTTTTTGAGTATACAACTATCCATTATTCTTCATGATGAAAAAGTTTTAAGGCTTTTGTGGGACATATAACTTGATTTTTTTAATAGTTTTTTATTCAGAAATATAGCACTATCCTTATACAATTTGACTTTATTGAGATTTCAAAACCACTGTGCGCCATTTGGCGCCCCTCTCTACGTCTCTGGATCCAATGTATAAAGTTGAAAATGTTGCGAATGCTTGTGTAAACTAATCTCCAAGTACAAATCTTCGAATAAACAAACACGAGATTATATATTCGGATGAACTTCCAGCCGCTAAACACGAAACATAATTTGATTGTACAATTCAAGATCATATATTTTACTGGCCAAATAACGCACCAAAAGTTGTTCGTTACTCGATATTTTTATCTAGACAAGAGTTTTGCCCATCTCTGCTATCGCCGTAGTCAGCCGTTTGTTACGTGACATATATATATATATACACACCCCACACAAAGGAGATACATATTTTCTAACCAGGATTCAAGAGTGGAAGAGGCAAGGCCAGCTTAGGGGAGTAGTTTAACGTTCTTTACTCGATAAAGTGTACCTTAAGAGCGATCTACGTAGCAAGTCGACCGATGTAACTGACAATTAATAAGAATAAAGCTTCGTTTTGTAAAGAAACCGCGAGGCTCGATGAATTGTAGCGATTCTTTCGAGTGTAATAAATTCGAAGAGCACACCAACCCGTTCCTTGTACTCTTTTCGTTGAACTAAATGAAGAGATGTCAGACGTAGCAAGCGTCGGACAACTGGTTTCCTCCAAGGATCGACAACGACAGTTATCACAAGTGAGTAATGCCCATCCATAATCTGCAAAACAGCCTGTGTGTTAAAAAAAAGAAGAATTTTCAAAGGAAAGATAATATAATATTTTTCAATCACCATCGAAACGTTAAATAAATATTTACATATGGACAAATCCACAGAACTTTTAGATTTGCAATTGGAAAAAAAAATTCTTTTTAGACAGGACATTTTTAATATTTTAGTACGCACATTCACACTCTAAGACCTAACAAAAACTGTATGAGATATAATTAAAATTAAGAAGGTTTTAAATAATGTTGAAAGCAAACAATTTTTTATTTGATATTTAATATTTAATATTTACATATGGGCAAATCCACACAACTTTCAGATTTGCAATTGGAAAAAAAAGTTCTTTTTTGACAATACATTTTTAATATTTTAGTACACACATTCACACTCTAAGACCTAACAAAAACTGTATGAGGTATAATTAAAATTAAGAAGGTTTTAAATAATGTTGAAAGCAAGCAATTTTTTATTCGATATTTAATAACTCCTGATAAAGCTTCATTAAACTCCAAAATATACAATCACAACGAAAAATATAATATATTTTGGAAATATAACATTCGCGCAAACTGAATTAGGAATGTCAAAATACCAGACAAAACATTTCGAAACAGCTTTGTACAACGTGTTTGAATTTTTTTTATCATTTCTTCGTTGGTCGATTTTCTGATGATACAGAATACGAATTTATTTGCTTCAAATATCAATATCTTTTAACGTAAGAACGGTGCATTATTTATTTTTATGAACGTTACTCCATATAGCTTAGTTCACAACTGTGAGACTGGCAATGCATAGTTTATTTTGAATGTGCTTCAATGTAAATCTGAAATTTTCATATCGATTTTGGATAAAATTTTCAAGCGACTCTAATTCACTGAAAAAAAGAGGCACATCAATCGGGGTTTTCGGGAATGGTTCCTCTTCATAAGATAAACGAACTTCAAGGATCGGAAATGAACAAAATTTGACGGTGTAAATTTCGTAAAAGAAAATAGTCCAAAATTCAAAAATTAATGAAAGTTGGTCACATGTTTTCTATGATCGTGTTACTATTTATAGAATGATAGCATATACAGTAAAGTTTACATAAATGCACAACTATCTCTACCACAATGCACTAGTTCAGTCCCGAGTTTGTGCATTTATGGAGACTTTACTGTATATGAGATTTGTAGGTTCATTTCACATATATAGTCAGTGTAACAAGTATTCGGCCACCAACCAATTTAAAATAAAATTAATAAGAAAAGAAATAAGATGATAACATTCGAAATAATAAACTTTAATTTACCGAAATTCTACTCTAAAATACAGTCGGTGTAAGAAGTATTCGTACACCAACCAATTTAAAAAAATACCAAAATAAAAAATAATAAGAAAAGAAATAAGAGAACGTTTTAATTAACATTAAAAGTAATAAACATTAATTTACGCAAATTCTACTCTAAAAACATGTAGAAATGCTGCTAAATTATTTCTTCCCCTAGAATTTATTAATAAAATAAATATATGCAGTTTTATTTTGAATTGGTTCCTGTACGAATACTTATTAGATTGACTATATGTATATCTGCCAGCTTTTCCAATTAATGCCACGTCAAAAAATTTAACGGCGTACACAGCCTACAGCTATCTCAAAATATTTGAAAATTAACAAACTCACAAGGCAATTTTTAACATTTTAATTTTTTAAAGACTTCCTGGCTTCTCAGATAGCTTACAAATTTTACGAAACCCATGGAAAACATTTGTTTTTATCATTACCTTCCACCAAAAACGTCCATATGATAAAATAAATGATTGATAGATTAAATTATGGTAAATTAAATTGATAAATTAATATATTGAAACATCAGAAGATAACATTAAATAAAGACGCAAAATAGCAAATCTAAGATTTCTATGGACTTACCCGTACACGTTTTTGAAACAAGTATAGCTTTACAGTTCCGCTTCGAGTATTTCGTTTTAATTAATCCCTGATCATTCTCTACGCTGAAATTTACTTAATTCTAGCCCAATAAAATTGACATTTTTCCAGTGTCTCGAGTGCGCTCAGAAGTGAAACTCAAGATAACTCATTCTAGGATCAGAGACACGGACACGGAGAAGTGGTAGTGGCTAATCGTTCCTCGGTCAACGATTGTATCGTGCTCGATATGTCACAGAAACACGCCCCGGTAACCATTTAACGAGGTATGCGAGATCTATAGCGGGCGCCCGCTATTGTCAGCGATTTTCTTGGTAAACTCCCGCGCTCTCTGCGTTGGCCAATATCAGATTATGGGATTTCGCAACAGGCTGCACGAATCGTTGAACTTTCGCGGCACGTATGCCCGCGTGCGAGAGGCAAAGACCATTGTACGTAACGATAGTTTCGCGTAATCTGGATCGATCGGTAGCGGTTGAATCAAAACGGGACTCTCGACTCCGAGGTATCGCTGTATATTCTTTCATTATTCTATTCAAGTTCGAGCCCGGCTAACAATGAATGAGCCCAATACGAAACGATAGGATAAAAAGATGCAGAAAGTTGCAGATTTTTAGGACGAATTAATTTTACGAACAATTTGTGACAATGGTAGGTAATATTCATTTTTATTCATCTTTGATACCTCAAAGTTAATTGATTCAATGTTTAACTATATTTATTTTTTATATATTTTTTTTATGTTTTTTATATATTTATTTTTTAATGTTTGTCGAAACAAAGATTATGGAGATAATATTATGAAATTATATTCCATATTATGGAGATGTTCTAATTACCTTCTGCGTTACATTAATTGATTCAGTATGTAACTATATTTATTTTTTAATGTTTGCCGAAACGAGTATTATGGAGATAATATCATGGAATTATACTCCATATTATGGAGGTGTTCTAATTACCTTTTGCGTTACATTAATTGATTCAATATTTAACTATATTTATTTTTTATATATTTTTTATATATTTATTTTTTAATGTTTATCGAAACGAAGATTATGGAGATAATATCATGGAATTATATTCCATATTATGGAGGTGTTCTAATTACCTTTTGTGTTACATTTTCTTGTTTTCATCAAATTATATATTCATTTCACTAAGCGACCGTAAAATTGTGTCGCCCCAAATTTTCAAAAAATATTTATAAGTCCAGTGAATCTTAACGGATTCTTGTATAACTCGATGAGTAGTGTATTAAACCGAGGTAATATCACTAAAAATTGCAAACGATTTCATTGAGGAGCAACGAACTATGACTAATGGTCGTGTAACTATTTATAGAATGATAGCACATACAGTAAAGTTTCCATAAATGCACAAATATCTCTACCATAAATGCACTAGTACTAATGATCAAAAATACAAGTGACCGTAAAATCGCGTGTCGCATTGTACATTGTTATCAAACTGATATTTCAGATTTATTTTTACGTAGTCGTTGTAAATATAGGACAAGTGTAGTCGCGTTCACTGCAAAATGTTAGCCACAAGTATGAAGATGAATAATTTTGTTTGATCGTGTTCGAAATGGCTTGATGCTGTTGAAGCGTTTTAATTAACATTGAAGGAGGAACGTAACGATCAGACATAATAAATTGGAATTAAGTGTTTTCCAGCGGGTGATACAATCTCGTAGAACGAAGACTCGTTATATATAACTACCGTTCTTTAACTGTATCCAATTGCGCGTCCGAATCGACTCCGTCTACCCCGACGATGTTGCAATCGCGTTCGACTTCACGGGGCGCTGTTTAAACACAAATTATTTACAGTATGCTCGACTACGTGTCTGTCGTTTCGAGTTAATTAACGAAGTCGCGAACGAAGGAAATTAGCAGCAAGTGTTTGCATGGATGATTATTACTTTCGTTGCGTAACGTGATTTGCAGTATCGACGACTCTGTTATCGTGGAATTAATCATTTCGGGGAGAAATTGCTAACTATACAGGGCGTCCCTAATTTAAGTGTCAAAATTTTGGGAGCATGTAGTTTGGGAGTATGTTTGTTTCGTTTTGATGAAAATCGTAAAAAAGAAAGAAAAATTTCTTTGTCTTTCCTCTCGTTTATTTACACTTACTTATTTCGTTATCACTTATTTAATGCATGCATTGCAGCAAGAGGTCATCAATTTGAACAGTGTCCGTATTATATAAATTAAGTAAGTGATAACGAAATAAGTAAGTGTAAATAAATAATAGAAAAGACGAAACCTTTTTTCTTTCCTTTTCACGATAATTCTCCAAACTTTTTTTCTTAATTTATCGGTCCATATTCTCCCAAAGCTTTGACACTTGAATTAGGGGTACCCTGTATAACCAGAGTCACCGAACTGCGGATTTTATTCGTCTATCGTGCATGGCGCACACGAGAAGTAGTGAACGGACGCAAACACATGTATTTATGCAAAACGAAATATTAATGCTGATCTTTTGATTTGTAACATACAGTCAGCTTCGTAAGTCTAGCGCGGACAGTGGATCAGTGAGTAGCGTAGCCGACTACCACTTAGGCTAACAAATAATAAGTATCGAACATCCTTATATAGCATAAGATAAGCAACTAAAAAAAGTAAAAAACATTAGAAGAAAAAGAAAAATTGGAAAGAACAAACACACATAGTGGTGAAATATGAGACAACAGTTCCCATTCACCTTAAAATAAACAAAGACAAAAGACTCTGTATGACTATTGAGAAAATTTGCCTAACTTAAACAATCGGTTTAGATATTTCTAAATAAATTTGTTATATATAAGTATATATACATGCGTTAAGTTTATTCATTTATACATATATTATAATGAAACATGTATTTGAAGACGTCAAAATTATCATTTAATTTAGATGAATTTCTTCAACAAACATAGAAGGTACGAATATTTATGGAACTGACTGTATACACAGTAGAAAGTGGTTATACTAAGTATGAATGTACGAAATCATAGATCTAACGAACAGAACGCAATAGTGGTTTTCTTTCACAATACCTATTTTAATATACAATTGTTTAATTTTATAGTAAGTATACTATATGGATATATTCCACATAATTCATATTAGCGCATGTTTTGGTATATTTAAGACCAAAGGAAAATAATTAAAACAATTGTAAGAATCACAAGTATTAAAACTAAAAACTGCTAGGTGATTGCTTTTTGGCATGTGAATCAAAATTGGCGCACTCACCTAGATTTTCTTAGGTATATTTAATGGTATTCAATAATACAGTCGGTTCGTTTATTGTATAGTAAATTAGTAAAAGTACCTTATTATTTAAAGTTCTGGAAAACGTAGGTTTTATTACATTCATCAGTGGACGTTTCGAAAGCAACGAATATACTATAAATATTAAACTATATCGACGGATTTATTAGAAAGTTGAATAAATCTACGATTAATCGATCGATCGATAGCTCTGAAAAATTAACTGGAATAAACTGTCTTTAAGCGATTACTACCGTCTACAGACAAATACGTATTTGCGGTTTTACGCGATGTTTCTTAAAACTATTCGCAAAACTAATATGGACAATTATTACGTAACATAATATTTAATAATACGATCATTTCTTCTATTAAATAGTAACATTGGGAAGAGTCTTGTTATTTAATGTTTGGAAAAAAGCTTGTTCCTCTCATTGTTTAGCAAGAACGGTATACTATAAGAAAAGTTTTTGTACCGCGCTATCTACAGGGTGTGGCAGAAAATTTGACCTGTAAGTTGTATTCATTCAAACACGAAAGCACTTCAAGTATGAAATTTTTTCACAATTTTTGATCGATTCTTCATTAAAAAAGGTACGTAATTGTGCTTTTTTCAGAATTTTCGATCTTGTTTAACATGTTCACGCCTTCATGTCCTTTCATCGGGTGCTGTGTACCACCGGTGGCTCGCGATAGACTCTCTCATTGGGCGGCGTGTACCACCGGTGGTTCGCGCTCGCGTGCCTATCAGATGGCGTGTACCACCGCGCCGTCCCGCGACGAGAAACGCAAATATCAGCGCCGGGGTTAATGCGTTAACATACATTTTTTAGATTTCTAACACTAATGAAAAAATGTGAGCATTCGTTGCTCCGAGACTGGGCTCGAATCCTTCCGAAAATGTTTGTCGTTGTGTGAAAAAGCACAAGGAGGCTACTTCGAAACCAATTAAGTACGTTGTAGCCAGAGGTGTTGTTTATAAATGTTGCTAAAATTTGTGTTTGTGAAAAAGTAAAATTTTTATAGTATTTTATTAAGATGTCAAATTTTTTGCCACACCCTGTAATTATATGCTTTCCTACAGTACATATACAGTTCAGGAAAAACACTAGTCCAATAATTACTGTTTGTGCAAGTGTCGAGATCAGAAACGAAGCTCAAATTAAAACGCTACAAAGTATCGCCTAGTTATATTTTTTGGACTAACAAACGAAACTGTCATCGTTGTTGGACACAAAGGTACACCGCTCCGTAAGTTGTTCGTTGTGTTTCGACGCATTTCGTTGTTCTTTGGCCCGCCTCAAGAACACGATCCTTCGACGATCCTGTGCGTCGCCTGATTCGTCAAGAATCTCTCGACCCTCTCCCTGAACTCTCTGCTGGATTCCGGCAAAGGTAGCCCCGGCCCCGAGCTTCTCAGACCGTGCAGCGCGTCCAGATTCTGCAAGCTCTCCGACAATCTACGATCGTGATCCAATATGTCCGGTCTGGGTGCCGGCGGCTTCTTCTTTCCCATCGCTCTCCTTTCCGAGTTCGTTCGCTCGTTCGACCCGTTCGAGTATCCGGACTCGGGCAACCGATTCATCATCCCTCGTAACGCAATCTTCGCGCTGAGCGCCGACCAGAAGGCTTCCAAAAGAGCAGCCACCAACACGTTCACCGTGAGCAAAATCTTCGCGTGCGAGGCATCGCGATAATTCTCCTGCCAAAAGGTCATCACTCTGTCCTTTATCGTCTCCAAGGATTCCTCCGTAACATTCGATTCCTGTTCGTGATCTCCCGTAGCCAGGAATTCCCTATCGTTCTGATTATAATCGATCAACGTCTCCCGAGAATTCTCAGAGTCGTTATTTCCGATCGAAGTCCTCAAAATGTATCCCGATATGTTGGACATATGATCGAGTATGATTCCAGGCGTGGGACCGTTGAAATTAATATTCTGTTCCAGGTCGTGAACCATGGTCGAGTTGAAGGCCTCGTCGATCGACAAGGTGTTGTTTCCCGGATGCTCGTTCGTACGAGTGCGACCTCGCTCGAGAATCTTCTCCAGAGACCACAAGGATCCACCGGAGTTTTCCGCCGCGGCGGCGATGTCGAACACCGTGGCGACGAAGCAGAGGATCGCCGCCACCAGAGAGAACAGGCTCCCGTAGAAGAAAATAGCGATGTTCCGATCGATGTACCACCGTCGCCATGCGAGGAGGCCCGTAACGAACGGTACCAGACACGCTACCGACAGCACGGGACCTTGAAGAGATAGGGCGAGGCTGCCCAGCAAAAGGGACAGCGCGCCCAGGCCGAAATGGACGAAGGACAGACCGCCCACGGTCGACGCCGAGTAGCGACGCTCCGATGGATACAAGGAAGACAACGCTGGCTTAGTTTTCACCTTTATCACGTACACGTTCTCCATCATTGTTCGCGAGTTTTTACGCAACTCGGGCCACAGTCACGCGAGAGCTCGGCAGGTAATTGGGGCGAGAACAGAAAATTTCATGCACCGGAGTTGGGCCAGTGATTACTTGCTGTGATTATTTTTACTATGCGCTATTGTGTCTGCGATTCTGTTTCTACTTCGCTTTTACTCTCCGTGTCTTTCATAATTTAATTTTAGGTTGCGGTGCTTAATGTTAGTTTCAAAGTCATCGATCGCTTTTTTATTGTTTTCTTGTTTCTCTCTCGCACTTTTCGATCTTTTCACCCACAACTTCAAGTCAGTCTGTGATAACGCACTATAGATTTGCAATCTGCGATTGTGAGCCAGTAATTAACAATTTCTCAACGTCGAACGGTCTAATCACCGTGTAAAATAAAATCGTCGAAAGAAATTGAAGACGCTACTTAATTTTATTAATTATTTTCTTTCTCTCTCGCACTTTTCAATATTTTCACTCACGATTTCGAGTCAGTCGGCAATAACGTACTAAACATTTGCAATCTGCAATGGTGAGTCAGTAATGTACAATTTTTTAACCGAGTAACATAAAATCGTCAAAAGATATTAAAGACGCTATTTAATTTTCGATCTTTTCACTCACAATTTCAAATCAGTCTCTATTAACGTACCATAGATTTACAATCTGCGATCGTGAGTCAGTAATTTACAATTTTTTAACGTCGAATGGTTTAATCACCGAGTAACATGAAATTGTCAAAAGAAATTGAAGACGCTATTTAATTTTTTCTGTACCGATCGTTCGATAGTCATCGGCTTCATTTGGGCCTGACACTGGCACACATGTTTACGACGGGTCGTCGATTCCATTAAATTTCCCAGACGCGCATACGTAATGGAGGTATATCCAACCTGGAGCCTTCCAGCGGAAATTGCTCGCCGCTTCCTGTTGCTTCGGAATAAAAAGCACTTGACCGTGAACGAAATGTACCGGGTGACACCAGGTCGCGGTGAAATGCGACGTTCCTGGAACGGAAGAACGCTAACGCGAACGGTAACGCGAAGAGGAAGACTCGATTCTCGCGACGAATCGGGACTGGCACTGCCCACGAGACCTCCGCGTTAATCCAGAAAGAGTCTTCAATAATTTCCGGGTTGGCAGAAGGGAGCAGGCCAATTATGCTAACCACCGCGGCTTAATTGAAATCTTCGTCGTAGATTTCTTCGTGGCTACGGTTGTGCAATTCGCTCGTAACAATGGAACGAGGACGAAAAGGGAAGAAGAGGAGCTCGAACGGCCGCGGCTGCATCCAATGAGCGTGAACGCGGAACGGTGAATAGGTTTAACAAACCGTCGTAGCCTCAACTTTTCTTCTCCCTTGGATATTGCGCAATACGATTGCGAAGCGATGCAACTAAAGTAGCTTGTTCCTTATCGTCCGTCAGTGGTCGGGATGATTTATCGAGGCTTGTAGAATTACTCCTCCGTCGACAAGCATCGGAACATCGAAGTTAAGAGTAGAAATGATTCGTGAAAAATTAGCAATTGGCGCGTTGACTGAGATATATATATATATAGTATAGTCTTTCGAGAAGACTTGGAGGATTTTTTACCAAGTAATTTTCCAATCGTTTCATATAGTTTTGATAGCGCAAAGGAGTCTCAGACTCGTCGCGAAGGATCTAAGTTAGATCCTCTAACCTTTATTCTTCGAGGCGGGGACGCACAGGCTCGACCTTTCGCCGAGCCATTTCAAAACAATGATACAAAGGTTACCGGCAATTTTCTCTCCGACAAAGGATCACCGAGTGGGTTCAACAAATCCGGCTCGCTGGCCCAATTTTTTCTCTTCTTTGGCGGCACGTATTGCCCAACGATCGATCGCGAGACGATGCAATTATTTCGCTGCTCGTTCGTGTTTTCTCAGACGGTGTTCTCGCCCGATTTCTTGCCCTCTGGGTTTTCAAGCTCTTGGGAAATCACCGATCCGGTTATCCGTCGACGATGAATCGATCGCCCTCGAGCGATCTTGCGTCCGCTCAGTCCGCGAACGCTCCTCGAACTTGCACAAAGTTTTCGACGTCGAAGTTGGCCAGGTCCGACAGTTCGCTGCCGGGTAATCGAAGACATTCGCGATGAGCGTTTAACACCGTTGAGATCGTCGAAGGACGGATCGAGCAAACGCGTTACGCAAACATGTTTCAGCGCTGTGTCCGTTTACAATTTTCGCGACTCTTCGAAGTCACTTTTCGGGACTCTTTCGGAAACGGTGACTCTTGTACGAATAGTTGGTCTTTAACAACTTCTCGTTGGATTTCGATGGTATACGCATCGCTCCGCGAAATTCGATTAAGGAGCCGTCGATGCGGCAAATTATCGATCAACTTCCGTCGTGGTTCGCGGTTGATTCGCGAGGACAGATGATTATCCACGGGAGACACTCCGGCGGAGACTGAGCCGCGAACGAAGACTAGTTCGGGTTGAAATTGCTATGAGATCCCGAACGGGCCTCCCACGCGGTCGGTTCGCAGTGAAAGGGACAACAGACAGCCACGGATAGATGAACCTTCGGTTTTAAGCCGTCTTCGCGCCATTTTCCGCGGTCGCGAAACGATGTCACACTTAGATACGGGAAAAACGAAGCGAAGCTACTTTCTTGCTCGTATCTAGACTTGAACTTCGAAGATGCAACGCGGGACGAGTCGTAACATGTAACGAACATTCTAATTTCGACGGAACAATGATAATTCGATATAATTGAAATAAGATTAAATCTTTTTAAATGGCACGTGGTCATCTTTGTACGCATACAGGTGTTTGTGTATGTGTGTATGTGGGTGAGAGAGAGAGAGAAAGAGAGAGAGAGAGAGAGAGAGAGAGAGAGAGAGAGAGAACCTCACTTAAATAAAATTTAAGGAAAAAATTGCATATTAATATGCGCTATTTATGCTCTCTTCAAATCCGTAAGAGAAAAATTTTGCGCTCGTTCCGTTCGATGCAAAAAAATTTATTTTAATGGCGGGGGGGGGGGGGGGCGGAGGAGCTGAGTAGGCTGCCAGTAGTAATATATTTAATACTTCCTTTGTGGGATTTCCTTTTGATTTTATAATTACTGCAACTCTTCTAAGGATTAAATTAATTAAATGGCGATGTTCTTCGAAAAGGGATCTTCTTCCATTCCTCTATCAGAGAGTAAGAACTTTTTTAAAAGTACTTTACTGGACTGCCAGTAAGCACCTCCCTCCCCCCCCCCCCCCCCCGATTTAAATAAATTTGTTTGCATTAAACGGAGCAAGCGCAAGGTTTTTTTCTTATGGATTTAAAGAGCGCATAAATAGTGCATTATTACGCAATTTTTCCTTTAAATTTTATTTTAGTGGGGGGTCCCAATTTTCTGCCTACGACGAAGACCTGCTTCAAGACAATTGTATTCGAAATTCGACGTAACTCAAATAAGTACAATAGTTGTAAACTGTATTAGTTTCAACGAAATGTTTCAATGAAAATGGAACATGGTTCATTAACAAAATTCTAACCAAGAAAAAATACATATGCATTCTTAGATGGCTCCAGAAGAATTGTCGTTAAAAGAATGGGATATCTATGTTTATCGTGAGAATATTAACAAAAATTAACAAATATGTGAAAAGTGATGAAAACATATGCGTAGTAAGTATTCGTACAGTTACAGTTTATTGGAAAAAAAATAATAAAATTGTATATTTAAAGGCAGTGAATCGATACATTTAATTATTTTAATATTTACTAGGATTACCTTTTGATTTTATAATGGCTTGAAATCGTCACGGCGTTGAATTTACCAAATTAAGTGAGTACGTGACTGGGAATATTTTTCCATTCTTCTAAGAGTGCTTTTTCTACATTATCTTTTGAGGAAATATGGCGAGACTGTATTTTTCGTTTCAGGTGATTCCAAACGTGTTCAATGATGTTTGCATTTAGCGACTTATAGTGGACCAGAATGCAATGTTAATAAATTATCTTCTACAACATTTTTCTTGCAATTAATCACTGCACGAATACTTTTTACACTGACTGCGTATAATAAACTAAGAACAATATTTACCTTTATTTCCTCTAAAGTTTAGGGTTAGCTATCGAAGCTCGTATAATTCCTTAACACTTTCGCTGCGGATGACATGGTACGGATGATATGGTTGTTTTTATTATTTTTCAGTTTTCATTTCTTTTGTTCGGCAATCATATTATATATAAAATAAGTTACCGCAAATATATGTTTTTCTAAGTAATCATATTAGAACATTTGTAAGAAATTTTTCATTAAAAAAAATATCATAATTGCAGCTCCCAGCGAACGGCTACTTAATTATTTTCGTCCGCAGCGAAAGCGTTAATTGACAAACCGCGTTGAAAAATATCACACGTCTCCAAAGTAAATACTTTACTGTAATCCTAAACTACCTTCAGGAGCGCAAACTAATCTCAGAATACTCGCCAAGGATCACGCCAAGAATCACTAACCTTTATTCTCTTCCCAGTGGAAACACATTGGCTCGGCGCTCGACCTTTTCGCTAAGCTGTTGCTAAACAATAATACAAAGGTTAGTCTAACACCGATTTTCTCTCCGACAAAGGGTCGTCGAGCAAAGTAAGTACCGCTTCGCAACGATAACGCTTCTCTACGTCTTGCGAATCGACTCCTAACAACGCGCAGACCAATCGAAGTACCCAACCGGTTTGAATCGACGGAGCAATTAAAAGGAAGATTAATAAAGTTCGTTATGGTTTGTGAACCCTTGGCCTGGTCAATTGCTCGTCGTAAAGCACGAGTTTGACCGTACACCGAGCGTCGGACTTGTTTTATTCCTAAATTGCTTCGAAACTCGAAGACGCCGACGGCCATGTTTGGGATATTCGATACAAAAGTGGAATAATGCGGGCACATTTAGCGACCAAATGATCCAAACTGGTACATTCTTAGGAAAACACTGGCGAGCAACCGTGAGAGAATTATTAGGTGTAGAAATTAATTCTGTGCCTTTCTAATGCATCCTTACGATTTAATTATAAAGAAATATCAGACATTTTTTAATTTTTACTTCGACTACGTATTCCAAGAGAGCACGTATGTAACAGTTGTAAAATCAAACGTCAAAGTTATCCGCGTGTATCGTTACTATGGAAGTGAATATTTCGATATAATGAAATGGTAGGTACATTTTTTGTTTTAACTGGAATTGCAAATAATTAAATTTTAAGGAAAAGAATTAGGTGTACGCCTAATAATCGACAAGTATATTTGTAATCTGTTAGGAGAACAACAGTTAGTAAAATTTATAATAAATATATATATATTTTATATTTATATAAAATATAAATATAAATATAAAATATTTTATATTTATATAAAATATAAATATAAATATAAAATATTTTATATTTATATAAAATATAAATATAAATATAAAATATTTTATATTTATATATAAATTTTGCTTTATATATGTTATATTTGTATATGCTTATATAATATATATATATATATATATAAAATTTGCTTGATATATATAATATATATAAATGTATATAATT